CTATCTATCTATCCTTATCTCCCTCTCTATCTATCTATCTATCTATCCTTATCTCCCTCTCTATCCATCTATCTATCTATCTCTATCTGTGTTCTGAGGAAGGGTCACCGGACCCGAAACGTTAACTCTGTTTTCTCCTCCACAGACGCTGCCAGACCTGCTGAGCTTTTCCAGCAACTTCTGTTTTTGTCCCTGATTTACAGCATCTGCAGTTCTTTTGGTTTTTATCTCTACCTGTATCTCTGTATCTATCTATCCAGTCAGAGGGTGAGCGGCTATCTAGGTCAGCTGGAGAGTGGAGGTCAGGTCAGGCCCTGCCAGGGTTAGGGGTTTTATACCTTCCTGTTACTTTCTTGAATTTTCCAAGGACTTAACCAATCAGGGACATTGGGTTAATTCGTTTTATCACCTTGAAACGGTGATAATGGTTTTCGATGGCTTGCTAACTGTGATGTGTCTGCCATGGACCCAGGATACCTAGTATAGGCCCCAAAATATGCACCTGGTCTTTTATTCTGCTGAGGAGCCTGTGGCCTGTGTACCTCGTGTTGTTTTATTTATCAGGAAGTGTCGAATTGCCCTTGTACACTTGCTAATGTGTGCCGGGCCATTTCTGGCTGGGCCTGAATCTTGCAAGGGCCTTTCTGTCTCCGGGCAGAATTGTCTCAGTGTATCTTGGACTGAGATATTCCCAGCATGCTTTGGCCAGTTTCTGTGCCCTGTTTATTTCAGTTCATAGACCATAGAATCCCCTAGAGTGTGGAAGCAGGCCGTTTGGCCCATCGGTTGTTGTAATTGATCACTTTTTAGTGATTCTATTTTAATCAAGCGATCACAGAATTCGCCTGGAGGGCTATCAACCCGTTGAAAGACACTTTTTGGTCTTCCTGGAACATGTTGGCCTTCCAGAGCAGGGAGTTGACCCTGACTGAGTGTAGCAGACTGGCACATTCTAAGGCCCAGGGCCACGTGCTGAGGGACACAGTAAAGCTGGGGGCAGATGCTGCCAAGGCACAATGGGCAAAGACCACCGTCTGAGGCCTTCCTGCTGAAGTTAAATGGAGGACCTTTCAGTTATTGGGCCCTCCCAGTGACTCAAATGAGTCTAAATATAATCTTGTACAGGAAAGAGATGCTTTTGGTTTGTTTGTTGGATGGAGTCAAACTCCAATGTTTGTTGTTTCGTTACGTGTTACTGTATGAACCGAACTGCTTCAGTGACTATGTATGTATATAAAGACATTTTTATGAATAAAATATATTTTTGAAATTTAAAAAAATAACTCTATCTTCTCTACTTCCCTCTCTCGTATTCATGGGAGCCCAGTCCATTTCAAAACTCCACTTCGGCTGCAGTTGGGAGGACTGGGGGCAGCATTGGACAATGGATCACTGGTTAGCACTGCTGCCTCACAGCGCCAGGGACCCCGGTTCGATTCCCAGCCTCGGGCAACTATCTGTGTGGCGTTTGACTGTTCTCCCAGTGTCTGCGTGGGTTTCCTCCGTGTGCTCTAGTTTCCTCTCACAGTCCAAAGGTGTATAGGTTAGGGTGGATTGGCCGTGCTAAATTACCCCATAGTGCCCAGGGATGTGCAGGTTAGGGTGGATTGGCCGTGCTAAATTACTCCATAGTGCCCAGGGATGTGCAAGTTAGGGTGGGTTGGCCGTGCTAAATTGTCCCATAGTGCCCAGGGATGTGCAGGTTAG